AGTTGGACTTTGGGGTTTTTTTTGAATTTTGGAATTTTTTTTTATTTTTTTTTAGGGTTTAGTCAGGCTGCAAGGCTTTGGGGGAAATAGGGGGATGAAGGGCTCGGGGGACTCAGAAGGAGGGGGGGTCTGGGGTTCTGTGGTCCCCCCCCCACCGGTACTTTTTTTTCCCGCCTTACAGAACCGGCAATTTTAAATCATTGTATTGTCTCACTGGTAATTTTATAGTTCTGGAATATAAAGAAACCTTTGAGAAGGGGACTTTCCTTACTCAGTGGCACTTTTTCCCTTAGAGGTGTCCTGATTCAGTCCCAAACCCAAAATTCAAAAACAAAAAAAAACCCCAACAAGAAAAGGGGATTTCTGACCCGACAGCCCAAGAAGGTTCCGGGTCCTTCAAATGAAAAAACCCAAATAAACATTCCAAACAAAATGTCTTCCAGGGGGGGAGGGGTCCTTAAATGTCCGGGAAACCCCTCCAAATTCCCCCCTCACAGCCAAAACCATTATTGTGTGACCATACCAACCCAAATCATTCTTAATTTCATTTCCCAAAGTTATCCGTCACAAGGAGACCTGTATAGATCACATGATGGCACCAAATGAGGAGGGAGGAGACTGAGTGACATGACTGAGGAAGGAAACTAACCTCACCCTGGATATCATCTACCTGCAGACCGAGAGTGAGGAAGGATCTGGGAGGTCACATGACATCACTCTCATCTCTATTAATAAAACACAGACCTGACCGGAGAGGTGACGGAGGATTCTGGCGAGGTCCACATGACATCACTATTTATATCTATTAATTAAACACTGACCTGACCGGAGAGGTTGAGGAGGATTTCTGGGAGGTCACTAATGACATTACTCTTATATCTATTAATGAAACAGCCCTGACCGTAGAGGTTGAGGAGGATTCCTGGGAAGGTCCACATGACCATCACACAGAGCCCGAACGATGTGAGGGAGGATTCTGGGCGGTCACATGACATCACTCTCATCTCCATTAATAATAAAAAAAAAAAAACAGACCTCCACCGGAGAGGTTCAGGAGGATTCTGGCGAGGTCACAAGTGACATCACACAGACTGATCCGTGTGAGTACGAGGTGAGGAGGATTCTGGGAGTCTAACATGAATATTCCCTATTGGTTCCTCAATCACAGAGAGTTCCTACTATGAAGTCAGTGTGATACATATGGACCATCACAGAGCCTCCATTGTGACCTCCTAAAACTTGAGAGACACAACATGCAGAAGATTTCTAGAAGTCCACCAGGAGGATTGGGGGGAGGTGTGGGTGGCTGGGGAGAGAGTGAGGGGGGGGGGAGTGGAAAGGGGGACATTCTCCAGTAACAGACAAGGGATGTGTGCTGGATGGTTGACTGTATCATTGTGTGTGTCAGGTATCCTATTAAGGTGATCAGGGATGTCACTAGTCTATTTCCTCACATGAGGAGTGGGAGTATTTAGAAGGACACAAGGGACCTCCTACAAGGACGTCATGCATGGGACAAATCAGCAGACTTTTCAGTAGAAGATTGTAAGGAAGGAATTTCCCCGGAATGAGACGATATATCTCTAAGCTCAAACCCTGGAGATCCTCAGCCTGCTGACTGGAGAGTGAAGTGGTAATGACAGGGGTTAAATAACAGAAAATTTCCTTGTGCAGCCATACCTAATATGATGAAACTAAGAGTGTCTGCAAAACAACCTAAACTGCGTTTCCCACAACACTAGCAAAATAAATGGAGAGATAAATAATCTGCTTGAGCTACTCACTAAAGGCATAACCATAAAGTAAACACCTGACTGGAATATGCCCCTAACTAAGGTAGATAGAATGTGCAATACCCTAGAGAATCACCCAAACACACAACGGAACAGAGGAAAAAGAGATGCCAAAAAACCCAATGGATGGTCCTGCTAGGCAACCACCAAATGTCGAACAAAACAAATGAGTGCAACATTCAAACAAATGTGCCCCCAAATAGATAGTCTGAGTAATTATATATCAAGGCATAAATAATAATATATATAACCAAAGCACACAAAAATATAAAGATAATAATATTCCATTAAACACCCGGCTGGAGCCCTCAACACAGTGACCAGTCTCGTGAATAAATGTCTGTATAAGTGCAGGAAAAAATCAAGATCTGTAATGCAGAAAAGATCTTCATATCAGAAGGTATTTCCACATGTGACTTGGATGGAATCCTTCCACACAGCGAGCGTGCCACGCTTTCCCCCTCCCATGTTCGATCTCGGAATATATGTAAAAATGTGCTATTAATATAACAACCCGAAATCCAACCAGCTCTCCTCTGTAAGTAACTTTACTGGCGCCTCCTAATTCCTCACATCAGAAATCCATGTTCAAAAAAACCTCAAAGGACATCTCATAGTGTAAATACTTCATGTATAATGTATAAAAATCAGGGTATGAATACTAACAAATCGGGCCAGCTGAACCCCATTAACAAGCATTGGTAATTAACATACACATGGACAGGATGTAACCAAAATGGCGACCAGCCTGACCGGATAATGATGTATCATTCACACTTTCTTCATTACATAATGAATCATCGTGAACTTCCTCCATGGACCATGGATTTTCTGTATGAGGAATTGGAGGAGCGACGTAAGTTTAAAGTACTTGCAGAGCGAAAGACGCTTGGTTTGGATTTCCAGGTTGAGATTAAAAGCACATTTGAATCTATATATATGTTTCTTGGACTTGGTTATTTTTAATTTTCGCTTTTTGTTCTGAGTATTAGATCTATGTTTGTCCCCAAGCGATGTTTGATTGATATTTGCTGGTGACTGGATCACTACTCTCAACTGTAAGTTTACTACAAAGCATCATCTACTTCTGTCAGTAAATTAATACTTTTCTGGAGAGATTAGTTAGTGAATCTTTCCTCCAGTTGTTGGAGGTCATGTCCTCGTGTTTCTTCAATTTTGGCTTTTCTTATTGAAAAATCCAGCCCTCCTGAACCATATTCACTCACTTGTTGTATTTATAACAGTTTCAGGTCACGTTTCTCCCCTATCCCTTCGTCTCCTCCAGACTGGGACATGTTACGTGTTCCTGAAGTCTCTCCTGATAATGTTCTATCCCCCCAGACCTTTCGCACAACATTTTTGTGCCACATCTCTGGACTCGTTCATATCTATATCAATATCTTCATGTAAGTGAGGTCTCCAGCGCTGGAACACAGTATTCTACATGATTGGTCTAAACTAAAGATCTAACTGGTAATATAGGGGTAATCCTCACTCAGGACCTCCTCCTCCTTGCCGGTGACCCCTCTAGTGACTATAATGTATCTATATATAGACGGAATCAGGGACATCCCTTCCTCCTGCTGGGGACCCCCTCTGTGTGATATTAATAGATCTATATAGAGGAATCGGGACCTCCTTTTCCTCCTGCTCTGGGGACGCACCATATACGTGATATATCAGATCTATATACAGGAATTCAGGACCTCCTATCCTCACTGCTGTTCAGCGTGACCCCTTCTAGTGATATAATGATCTATATAGAGGAAATCGGGACCTCTTTCCCCCTGCTGGTGACCCCATCTAGTGACTATAAATGACCTATATATAGAGGAATCAGGACCTACGCTTCCTCACTGTCCGGTGACCCTCTTTAGTGATATAAAGACTCTATATAGAGGAAATTTGGGACGTACTTCCTCTCTGCCGATGTGACCCTTAGTGATATAAAGATCTATAAGAGGAATTGGACGTACTTCCTCTGCGGTGACTAGTGATATAAAGATCTATATAGAGGAATCGGGACCTCCTTCCTCCCGCTGGGGACCCCTGTTGTGATATAAAGATCTATATAGAGGAATCAGGACCTCCTGCCGGTGACCCCACTAGTGATATAAAGGTCTTATATAGAGGAAATCAGGACCTTCCTTCCTACCGCTGGGGACCCCATAGTGAATATAAAGATCTATATTAGTAGGAATCAGGACCTCCTTCCTCCTGCTGGTGACCCCTCTCAAGTGATATAAAGATCTATATAGAGGAAATCAGGACCTCCTTCCTCCCGCCGCCGTGACCCTCCATTCTAGTGATATAAAGAATCTATATAGAGGAATCGGGACCTCCTTCATCCTGCCGGTGACCCCTCTAGTGATATAAAGATCTTATTTATAGAGAAATCGGGGTCCTCCTTCCTCCTTCTGTGGACCCCTCTAAGTGATGCATCCTAGATTTCTTTTTGCGTTCCCCACATGCTTGGCCACACTGTCTGCTCATTTTGCAGTCCATCATGAAATAAGTACCCAAGTCCTTTTCCTCTGAAGTGCTGACCTCAACACTGTACCCCAATGTTGTAACTCTCTCAAGGGGATTACTTTTCCCCTAGGTGACATTATTTTACATTAGAAACATTGAACATGAAATTTTCACTTCTCTGTTCAATCTTCCAGCAATGCCAGATCCTGTTCCATGTTACAGACACCTCCTCAGGGGAATATCCTCAATTATTACACACCTTTGTGTCATCAGCAAAGAGACATCCCCTTACCCAACAACCCTTTAGTTCTATATCACTTACATATAGATTACAGATATAGAACAGGACCCAGTACAGACCTTGGGGTACACACTAGTGACTGCTCTCTGTTCCGTGTGAACCCCATTTACATCACCACACTCTGGTTATCTCTCCTTTATCCTAACCTGCACATCCACTGAAACCCCCCAAGGGCTAAGTCCTAGCTTTGTCCAATTCTGTATTAGATCATTATGTGGACTGGTATCACATGCCATGCTGAAATCAAGATACTCTATGTCCACAGCACCACCCTGGTCCAAAACATTGGTTGATATAGTCAAAAAGTACAATCAGATGAGTCTGCCCATGGTCTGCCCTCAGCACAAGCCATGCTGCTTTGGATCCAGCAAGTTGTGTGTTTCTAGATGATCAATGATCCTTCCTTTCAGGAGTGATTCATTAAACTTGACTACCACCGATGTTAGACTCACTGGCCTGTAATTGCCGGCTTCTACCTTGCTGCCCTTCTTTTGGATTGGTACAATATTAGCTGTCCGCCAGTCATGGGGAACTTCTCCTGTTAGAAGAGATTGATTAAAAAGATCAGGTTACTGATCAACAACTAGACCTCAAAGTTCTCTGAGAACTCTGGGATGATCCCATCAGGGCCCATTGATTAATTAACCTTTAACGGAGCCAATTCCTCTGCTGCCTCTGTCTCCTTAGAAATCCTAAAAATGATCCATCATTACTGGAAAACCAATATGATTTTGATTTCCCAACTTATTATTATTAGTATAATTTACTTCTGAGAAACTGAACAAAAGTCATTGTTTAAGTGGTTTGCTACATCCAGTTCTCCCCATCAACATAGGTGTGGTGCCCAGTTTTCATGTTAGTGATCCCATTGTAATTTTTCTATCACTAATGTACCTAAAAAAGGTTTTATCTCCTTTCTTCATAGATTAGGAATTTCCTCCTCTTTCTGTGCTTTGGCAGCTGCTGATAATGTGTTTGGCCTCCTTTTGTACATTTTTATACTCTTCTCTATCACCTCCCACCTCCTGTTTCCTTGAATCTCCTATATGATGATTCTTTTCCTTTACTATCCTACTTCTCTTTAGTGAACCATTATTGGTTGTCTCTTTTGTTTATTCATTACTAACTTGCCTTCGATATATAATCTAGTTGCCTCCAGGGATGGTAGACTCTATCAGTATGCCCACTGATTACTTACTCCAGTCCTTTTACTCCAACCTTTCAAAAAACATCATTTTTTAGGAATTCGCCTAATTCACCAAAATTTGTCTATATGGAAATCTAAATCTTTTGTTTTTTGTATATGATTTTTAAGTTCTTATTGTAATATCAAACCAAAGACATTGGTGAATCATCTAGAACCCACATTTTCTCCCACCTCAACATTAGGACAGTCGATCCCCCATTTGTCAGTACTGGATCTAGAATATGATCGCCTTGGTTGGACTTTTTACTGTTTTACAGAGAAGCCCCATTCAGTGTGCTTCCATTACATCCCTGCTCCTGCTTGTAATAACACTTTGAGATTTCCAGTTAATGTCAGGCGTAGGTGACGTCACTCCTAATGAAAACCTCCCCCCTTTATTGCCAATTTGAGTTATCTCATCAAATCAAGAAGTCCTCCTAATCTTCAGTCTGTTCTGGGGGTCTGTATATGACACCAATTCTAAGTAAAGATCCCTCTCTGGTTGGAAGGCAGACTCTCAGAGGGTTGTGTCCAGTATTTCATTTGTTTGAATTAATGTTCTCCTTTATGCTATTTCTGACATATATGACAACTCCTCCTCACCCTCCCCCCTACTCTGTCTTTCCTGTATAGTGTATAGCCTGGTATTAGTTACTTCCCAGTCATCTGAATCCTTGAACCACGTCTCTGTAATTACAAGAAGGTCCAAGTGGTCCCTAGACATAAGAGCTGTCAGCTCACAAGGCTTGTTGCCTAAACTCGGAGCATTAGTGCAATGACATGACAAGCACTGCCATCTTACTGCTTTATGTTTACCAGCAGAAACTGTAACTGAAGTGACACCATCAGCCCCGTCCTGAGCAACACCAACCTCACATTTGTTTTCAGCCTGCTGGGGGGACAGAAATGATCCTCAACAATTGATATCTCTTGCCCCCATTTCTCAGTTTAAATGCATGTCCAAAAACCTCCTAAATTCATAGTAAGGAGCTGAGCGCCCTTGTGTGAGGGATGCAGACCATCTCTATTGTTACAGCTCAATGTCAGACCACCTGATGGCATCATGACTAACAGAACCAAAACCTCTTCAGCTTTGCACCAATCCTTTCACCAAAACATTGGACTCTGCTATACCAAGTACTTCCTCTTGTTGTCCATTATGGACAGGTAAGACCTCTTTGTATCACACAGAACTGTACAGGAGTCATGAAGAAAAAGCTACCGACAATGACACCAGAAGGAGATCTTATCGTATGACACAATGATCCTCGAGAATCCAGAATCCCACCACCATCCCCCACCTCCATTCCTGATCCCTACAAGACAGAAGACACAGAAGATTCTAGAAGTCACCAAGAAGATGATGGAGCTGCTGACAGGAGAGGTGAGCGGTGCCGGGAATTCTGGGACATTCTCCAGTAACAGACAAGGGATGTGTCTGGATGGTGACTGTATCATTGTGTGTGTCAGGTTCCTATAAGGTGTCAGGGTGTCACTGTCTATTTCTCCATGGAGGAGTGGGAGTATTTAGAAGGACACAAGGATCTCTACAAGGACGTCATGATGGACAATCAGCCCCTCACATCACCGGGTAAGAGGAGACTTTATTGTAAAGGAGAGAGCAGTACGGAGGATCCACCTAGATCCCCCATCATCTGATAAACACATAGAAACAATGGATTCAGTCTCAGGAGATGGGATGAAGCGGTGTGGGACCTCTGCAACTTGTCTCATGTGGACATCTAGGCCACCACTGAGTGCTGAATACCAATATTATGAGTCCTGACCCTTACACTGTATAATTTATATTGTACATTACATACTCCTGACCCCTGCACTATATACTCTATATTGTACATTACATACTCCTGACTAATATTTAAATATTCCCAGCACTATATACTCTATGGTTTACATTACATACTCCTGACCCCTGCACTATATACTCCATGTTGTACATTACATCCTCCTGACCCCTGCACTATATACTCTATATTGTACATTACATACTCCTGACCAATGCACTATATACTCTGTTGTACATTGCATACTCCTGGCCCCTGCACTATATACTCTATGTTGTATATTACATACTCCTGACCCCTGCACTATATATTCTATGTTGTACATTACATACTCCTGACCCCTGCACTATATACTCCATGTTGTACATTACATACTCCTGACCCCTGCACTATATACTCTATGTTGTACATTACATACTCCTGACCCCTGCACTATATACTCTATGTTGTACATTACATACTCCTGACCTCTGCACTATATACTCTGTGTTGTACATTACATACTCCTGACCCCTGCACTATATACTCTGTGTTGTACATTACATACTCCTGACCCCTGCACTATATACTCTATGTTGTACATTACATACTCCTGACCCCTGCACTATATACTCTATGTTGTACATTACACACTCCTGACCCCTGCACTATATACTCTATGTTGTACATTACATACTCCTGACCCATGCACTATATACTCTATGTTGTACATTACATACTCCTGACCCCTGCACTATTAATATTATACAGGATTTATGGTGCCAACAGTTTGCTTAGCGCTTTACAATATGACAGGAGACAATACAGCAACAATACAGTTCAATACAAGAGGACAATGAGGGCCCTGATCCTTGGAGCTTACAATCTAGGAGGAAGAGGCTAGTAGTACAAAAGATAGTAACTGTGGGGATGGACTGGTAGGAGGAGTAGAAGATTCCATTATTAGCTGAGGGCAGGATAGGCTTCCCTTAAGAGTTGGTTTTCAGAGATTGCCTAAAAGTGAGCAGAGTAGGCGATAGTCTGATAAATTGGGGTAGAGAGTTCCAGAGGATGGGGAAAGCTCTGGAAATGTCCTGGAGACGAGCATGGGAGGAGGAGACAAGGGAGCTAGAGAGTAGGAGGTCTTGCGAGGAGCGGAGAGGACAGTTTGGGTGATATTTAGAGACAAGATCGGTGATGTAATTTGGGGCAGACTTATTAATGGCTTTATATGTTATTGTTAATGTTTTGAATTTTATCCATTGGGCAATGGGAAGCCAGTGGAGGGATTGGCAGAGAGGAGTGGAGGACACTGAATAGAGGCCAGTAGAGGGATTGGCAGAGAGGGGTGGAGGACACTGAATGGAGGCCAGTGGAGGGATTGGCAGAGAGGGGTGGAGGACACTGAATGGAGGCCAGTGGAGGGATTGGCAGAGAGGGTGGCAGATACAGAACGGTTAGTAAGGTGGATGAGTCTGGCGGCAGCATTCATGATAGATTGAAGAGGGGATAGCCTGCGATGAGCTAGGCCAATGAGGAGGGAGTTATAATAGTCAAGGCGAGATATAACAAGGGAGTGAATAAGTTGCTTAGTGGTTTCCGAGGTTAGGAACGGCCGTATCTTGGAGATGTTGTGGAGGTGAAGTCTACATGATTTGGACAGTGATTGGACCTGGAGCTGAAAAGACAGATAGGAGTCTAGGATTACACCTAGTACCCTGGCATGAGGGGATGGACTGATGGTTGTATTATTGATCTTGATGGAGAAGTCAGGGGAGGGGGCACGGGCTGGGGGGAATACTAAGAGCTCAGTTTTGGAAAGATTGAGTTTGAGGAAGTGGAGTGACATCCATGCCGATATATCACTTAGTAGGTTAGTAATGCGAGAGGAGACTGAAGGGGTGAGGTGAGGAGGAGACTGAAGGGGTGAGGTGAGGAGGAGACTGAAGGGGTGAGGTGAGGGGTAGAAAGATAGATTTGTGTGTCATCAGCATAGAGATGTTACTTAAAGCCATGGGAGTTTATCAAGTGACCAAGGGAGGAGGTGTAGATGAAGAAGATAAGGGGTCCAAGGACAGAACCTTGAGGGACCTATGCAGAGAAAGGCAGTGAAGAGGAGGAGGCAGCTTTATAGGTAACACTGAAAGAGCACTGCGATAGGTAGGAGGGAGAACCAGGAGAGAGCAGAGTCTCTGAGGCCAAGAGAGTGGAGTTTTTTGAGGAAAAGAAGATGGTCAACCATATAAAAAGCCACAGAGATGTCAAGTAGTAAGAGTACGGAGTAGTGGCCATTGGTTGGGATGAGTATGGAGTAGTGGCCAATGGTTGGGATGAGTACAGAGTAGTGGCCATTGGTTTTAGCAGTTAGTAGATCATTAGTGAGGTTTAGTAGGGCAGTTTCAGTGGAGTGTAGTGAGTGAAAGCCAGACTGTAAATGGTGAAGAAGGTTGTTGTTGGTGAGGTGGGAGGAGCTCAGGCGATTGTAGACTAAGCGTTCTAGGAGTTTAGAGGTAAATGGCAGCAGGGAGATGAGTCTTAAGTTGTTCAGGTTGGTGGGGTCCAGGGAGGGCTTTTTAAGTATGGGACTATGTGTGCATGCTTTAGAGGGAGGGGAAGGCACCAGTAGAGAGGGAGAGTTTGAAGATGTGAGTGAGGGAGCATAGGATAGGAGGAGAGGGTGACCGTAGTAGTTGTGAGGGACAGGATCCAAGGGCCAGGTGGTGAGACGGGCTTCTGAGAAAACCTTAGTGACCTCTTCAGTAGTAGCGAGGTCAAAAAAAAGAGTGTTGAGGGAGGTTTAGTATAAGGTATGCTAAGTGGGATGGATGTCTGTGCAGTGGTGATGTCCCTACGAATTGCATCAATCTTGTTTTTGAAATGATTTGCAATCTCATGAGCTGTGAGGTACAGGGTGGAGGTGGAGAAAGTAGGAGTTAAAAGTAGAGACGACAAGAACTAGTTGATAAGGTATTGATGAGAGTGACAAAGTAGGCTCTTTTGGCAGCATGGAGGGAGGAATTGTATATGAAGAAAGCAGATTTATATCAGGTGAATGCTTGCTGGGATTTGGTTTTACACCACAATCACTCCAGCGCACAAGTACAGTTGTGTTCAAAATAATAGCAGTGTGTTGAAAAAAGTGAATAAAGCTGAAAATCCTTCTAATAGCTTTTATTTCCATCCACACAAATGCATTGGGAACACGACACATTCTATGTCAAATCAAAACATGAAGAAAAATACATCAAATTTGTGTTGTTCCTCTAAAAAATTTGAAGAAAAGTGAATATTAGACGGTTCAAAAAAATCGCAGTGTTTGTATTCTTCTTTACAAACTCAAACATTCACTATATAAACAGAAATGTTTGAAGATTTTGCTTTCCTTTGAATGACTTCATGAATATTTGGTTGTAGTCGCACTGTTTCTGAGAAACTGCTGTACATCTGTGTTGCATGGAGTCCCCCAACTTCTGGCCCCTGTGATCAGGTATTCCAGCCCAGGATGATTGGACCACATTCCACAGTTCTTCTCGATTTCTTGGTTTTGCCTCAGAAACTGCATTTTTGATGTCACCCCACAAGTTTTCTATTGGATGAAGATCCGAGGATTGGGCTGGCCACTCCATAACGTCCATTTTGTTGGTCTGGAAGCAAGATGTTGCCCATTTACTGGTGTGTTTGGGGTCGTTGTCTTGTTGGAACACCCATTTCAAGGGCATTTTCCTCTTCAGCATAAGGCAGCATGACCTCTTCAAGTATTCTGATGTATTCAAACTGATCCGTGATCCCTGGTATGTGATAAATAGGCCCAACACCGTAGTATGAGAAACATCCCCATATCATGATGCTTGCACCACCATGCTTCACGGTCTTCACAGTGTACTGTGGCTTGAATTCAGTGTTTGGGGGTCGTCTGACAAACTGTCTCCGCCCACTAGACCCAAAAACAACAATCTTACTTTCATCAGTCCACAAAATGTTGCGCCATTTCTCTTTAGGCCAGTCAATGTGCTCTTTGGCAGATTGTAACCTCTTCAGCACACGTCTTTTTTCCAACAGTGGGACTTTGCGGGGACTTCTTGCAGATAGCTTGGCTTCACATCGGCGTCTTCTAATTGTAACAGTCCTCACAGGGAACGTCACACCTTCTTTCATCTTCCTGGAGCTGATTGTTGGCTGAGTCCTCACAGGGAACGTCACACCTTCTTTCATCTTCCTGGAGCTGATTGTTGGCTGAGTCTGCCCCATTTTGGCTATTCTTCTATCCATTCCAATGGTAGTTTTTCGCTTTCTTCCGCGTCTTTCAGGTTTTGGTTGCCATTTTAAAGCATTTGCCATCATTTTAGCTGAGCAGCCGATCATTTTCTGCACTTCTTTATATGTTTTCCCCTCTCCAATCAACTTTTTAATCAAGGTACGCTGTTCTTCTGAACAATGTCTGGAACGACCCATTTTCCTCAGAATTTCAGAGAGAAATGCACTGTAACCACCATGTACAACATTTGCTGCCTTCCTTCCTTAAATAAGGGCAATAATTGCCACCTGTTTATCAAAGAATGAATGACCTCACTAATAGAACTCCACACTGCTATTATTTTGAACACGCCCCTTTCAATGAGTGATTCAATGACACAGAATCAGCAGCATGCATGTCATGACTGTTGGGTCTGTTGGATTTCTATGACTCTACTACACCTGCTAGGAAATTATTTGCCATGTAGAAATACCATTTCCACCAAAAACAGTGATTGATCCGGTTAGTGATGTCTGACGGATAGTATTTTGAACATAACTATGTCTCTTAAGATG